AATGTCCCATGATTGAGGTAACTTACTTAGGTTTTAATTCAGTCGTACATGTTTGTTTAATTTAAGGTCCCATGATTGAGGTAACTTACTTAGATTTTAATTCAGTTGTACATGTTTGTTTAATTTAAGGTCCCATGATTGAGGTAACTTACTTAGATTTTAATTCAGTTGTACATGTTTGTTTAATTTAAGGTCCCATGATTGTGGTAACTTACTTAGATTTTAATTCAGTCATACATGTTTGTTTAATTTAAGGTCCCATGATTGAGGTAACTTACTTAGATTTTAATTCAGTTGTACATGTTTGTTTAATTTAAGATCCCATGATTAGGGTAACAAAACTATTTCATAAAAAAAGAAATATTGACTACAAGAGTAAACTATAATCAAATATTAAGGTACTAGATAACTAAGGTTAAAGTGCTAGATAACTAAGGTTAAAGTGCTAGATAATTAAGGTTAAGGTGGTAGATAACTAAGGTTAAAGTGCTAGATAATTAAGGTTAAGGTGGTAGATAACTAAGGTTAAAGCACTAGATAATTAAGGTTAAAGTGCTAGATAACTAAGGTTAAAGTGCTAGATAACTAAGGTTAAAGTGCTAGATAATTAAGGTTAAAGCACTAGATAATTAAGGTGGTAGATAACTAAGGTTAAGGTGCTAGATAACTAAGGTTAAAGTGCTAGATAACTAAGGTTAAAGCGTTAGATAACTAAGGTTAAAGCGCTAGATAACTAAGGTTAAAGCGCCAGATAATTAAGGTTAAAGCGCCAGATAATTAAGGTTTTATCTAGCACTTTAACCTTAGTTATCTAGCACTTTAACCTTAATTATCTAGCACTTTAACCTTAATTATCTAGCACTTTTTAAGGTTAAGGTGCTAGGTAACTAAGGTTAAAGTGCTAAGTAATTAAGGTTTTCTGAAAGAGATTAAAGCATTAAGATGTTATTATCATAAAGTTGAACTTTTATGCTGCTCTTAAACGTTTCTGGGTAAAGAAAATAATGAATGAGTGTAGTTCACTCTTGTGTCTTAATTACTTACAGTTTATTTTTAGTGATGTCAGCTTTAAGTCTTTTCTTTTTTTGCTTCTGCTAGACTAAAGTGTTATTCAAACGTTTTGCTAAAATACTGGGAAATCCCTTATAACTTGCTTTTCATGCCATATGACAGACTTTAGATGCTGAAACTCCAACTGTAGGTTTAGCCACTTCTAGGATCTCAAAGGTCACAATGTTCAAGTTTAGTTGTGATGCCAACAGTACTTACAGACTAGAGACCAAATGTTATGTAAAAGTTTATGCTACCAAACATATGTTCATTGGTGTATCAAATGTCAGTGTTAGACATTCACCAGTTTTGTGAGTTTGATATTATTTGGTTTCTTTTCGGGGAATAACATTAATTGAACTTAAACAATTTAATTTTTTTACTTAAAACTGTTTGACAGAGAAAGCTGTGTGGTTACTTTTTACTGAATTTTTTATCTATAACAATTTTATTTTAATTTTAATCCCTAGTCAGGTTAGGTTTTTGTTTCATGATGAGTAAATACTTTCTTGTCAATCTTACAAATTTTCAGATGTTTTAAATTTCTCCGGTAACTACCATGATACAAGAGTTGATCTTCCATTATCGTAGATTACGTTGTTACCAATGTTTGTAACTACCATGATACAAGAGTTGATCTTCCATTATCGTAGATTACGTTGTTACCAATGTTTGTAACTACCATGATACAAGAGTTGATCTTCCATTATCAAAAAAAAATTGGTAACAACGTAATCTACGATAATGGAAGATCAACTCTTGTATCATGGTAGTTACAAACATTGGTAACAACGTAATCTACGATAATGGAAGATCAACTCTTGTATCATGGTAGTTACAAACATTGGTAACAACGTAATCTACGATAATGGAAGATCAACTCTTGTATCATGGTAGTTACAAACATTGGTAACAACGTAATCTACAAATTTTAATCAGTATTCAAAATGTCAGTTGTTTTGATTCGAAATATTTGTATTCAACACTGCTAGTGGAGAAGAATCAACTCTTTGCACTGATGTTAAATAGAAATAAATGAAATGCAGATTTTAAAAAAATAAAAACATATTGGCTCGTGTACATATAAGTCGACAAATCAGGATTCAGTGACTGGTATCTTTTTTGTTGTTGGGAAATGTTTATTTAATGAATGGAATAACTAAAATGAAAGATAAATGTGTAATACTTTACCTTTGTTGGTCTTGTGTATTGTAAGATCACTATGTGTAGCATTAGTAGTTTTATAAGAGTTTTGAATACCATTAATGATAGTGTACAATTTGGATGTGATTTTTAATACACTTTACATTTAAAAACAATTTGATTGAAAAGTTTATTTTTCTGGTTTTCCCAATGCTGAAAACAGTTGTATTTTGTTATAACAAGGAATGATGAATAAGATGTTATTACTTTAATATGTAAGATTTCTTACCAGTCCGGTATTAATTGTCACTATGAAGACTACACATGTACTTCATTTGCAGTATGCTGTTGCCAATTTGGTTTTTCCCTCATGCTGTCAGTTTGACTGGGTTTCATCTTATAGTCTTAGTTAAAAATGCTGTTATTATCTTGTTGTGGTCCAGAAAAGAATGATCTGATTTAAATATTTCTCAGTTTTATTATACACGTGTTACTTATTAAAAGATCACGCTTTGCCAACATAAGCACCTACAGAACACAACTTAATTCGTATTGTAAATTCAAACATCATACACTTCAAATTGCTACAAACCTATAATATGAATTATACTTAACATGCCAACCTGTAATGAGCCAGTAAAGAATGTCTGATTTTAGTTTTGTTTTATTTAAAAATAAACTTTACATTATCTTTCACTGTGCTGGAAAAAAAAAGGATTTGCAATCCCATGTGTGCATGTTTGGGGGAATTTTTCTTGTATTGTATTTTTATGAATGTTTAATTTTTGTTTTTCTCTTCAACAGAAAATATACTTGCTTTGTCCAGACAATCATTCATAATGTTTTACTTGTTTGTCCAGACAATCATTCATAATGTTTTACTTGTTTGTCAGACAATCTTCTGGGAAATACCTCGGCTTTCCAATGTTACAGATGAAGAGTGGATAAGACCTGAAGACTTTTCACAGACTTTTGGTTCATTTTTCCCCAAATTTGGAGGAATTCCTAATATTCCCATATACAATGATGACCAAAGACTGCACAATGCCCAACCTAGTAGCTGGGTTTTAAGAGCTGGAGGCAAGTTGAAAAATATAAATATTTCATTGGTTCAGTCTGTAGTTTTTAAATTTTCAATTTGGGTTGTTTTTTTTAAAACAGTTGGAGAAGTTGGTTGGTTGATAAATTTTATTAAACTGGCATATTGAATGTTCAACTTAATGTAAAGGTGCTGTTTTATTAGAATGTTCAACTTCAGTGTAAAGGTGCTGTTTTATTAGAATGTTCAACTTCAGTGTAAAGGTGCTGTTTTATTAGAATGTTCAACTTTAATGTAAAGGTGCTGTTTTATTAGAATGTTCAACTGTAGTGTAAAGGTGCTGTTTTATTAGAATGTTTAACTTTAATGTAAAGGTGTTGTTTTATTAGAATGTTCAACTTTAATGTAAAGGTGTTGTTTTACTAGAATGTTCAACTTTAGTGTAAAGGCACTGTTTGTTTCCTTTTACTTACCTGTAAGTGATCCAGTTTGAGCTGATTAAGTTATAGGGTGTTTTCTGTTACTAACCTGTAAGTGATCCAGTTTGAGCTGATTAAGTTATAGGGTGTTTTCTATTACTTACCTGTAAGTGATCCAGTTTGAGCTGATTAAGTTATAGGGTGTTTTCTATTACTTACCTGTAAGTGATCCAGTTTGAGCTGATTAAGTTATAGGGTGTTTTCTATTACTTACCTGTAAGTGATCCAGTTGCCTTCTAATGAAAATGTACCCATCTATATATACCTTAACATAACATACAAAAATTGATTCTCCTATTAAACCCCGTAAAATGTTGGCCTCAATTACTGCTCATTCTAGCAATTAAAAAATATAACTAGGCATGATTTATTAGGGTTTTGGCTGCAATGGACCACTGCTCTCTCTCTTTAGAATTAGATGATGTTTCTACTCACACAAAAAAACAAGTACACAGGAAGGAACTCTGTCACAGGACTAGAGTATCCATTAAAAAGATACCACACAATTAATGACTTTGACCTGAATAAGGCCTTACTCGTTGTAGAAGCCAAAATATCATCCCACTCTAGAAACATGTAGGGGTAGTACATTGAAGCTAAAACCCTGCCTTACTCACACTACCTAAAACACTTTTAATGCTGCAAGGGAAATGTTTCTTTGTTTCAACTCTTTAAAGCTACATTAGAGATACATTAGATAAGTTTGTTTTAAAGGAAGTCAAGAATTCTTGAGGGAGAAGATACATTAGTTAAGTTTGTTTTAAAGGAAGTCAAGAATTCTTGAGGGAGAAGATACATTAGTTAAGTTTGTTTTAAAGGAAGTCAAGTATTCTTGAGGGAGGAGATACATTAGTTAAGTTTGTTTTAAAGGAAGTTAAGAATTCTTGAAGGAGAAGATACATTAGTTAAGTTTGTTTTAAAGGAAGTTAAGAATTCTTGAAGGAGAAGATACATTAGTTAAGTTTGTTTTAAAGGAAGTTAAGAATTCTTGAGGAAGAAGATACATTAGTTAAGTTTGTTTTAAAGGAAGTCAAGTATTCTTGAGGGAGAAGATACATTAGCTAAGTTTGTTTTAAAGGAAATCAAGCAGTCTTGAGGGAAGAGATACATTAGTTAAGTTTGTTTTAAAGGAAATCAAGCAGTCTTGAGGGAAGAGATACATTAGTTAAGTTTGTTTTAAAGGAAATCAAGCAGTCTTGAGGGAAGAGATACATTAGTTAAGTTTGTTTTAAAGGAAATCAAGCAGTCTTGAGAGAGGATTTGAACAACTTTCAGAAGAAAATCATGCCGTGGAACCTAATGAGTGGAGCTATCGAAGAGTTTTGCTCCCTGAAAAAACGCTATGTGCAAAACGGCCTGATTGTTTGTGCATCGTTAATAGATCGTTTACCAAATCTTGGAGGTACGTTTATGGTTGAACTGTGGGAAGAAACTGTACTTAAAGCATAGATACATATAAAATACCATTTAAATAACATGCAAGTTTGTTAAGAAGCTTGGTTTGCTGTGTAATTAGGGTATTTACATGGTGCTTGAAGATCTATATTTTTTCTGTACTACCGATTTTGCTGTAGGAAATGCTGATAGAACTTCTGAAAGATGTAAAGTGTATATTTTACATTTTATTTTCATGATTTAATGCAACATTGTTATGACAGATACTTTCAACATGTGTTAACTTACTTCAGTTAAAACACGTGTAATCCAGCTGATGAATCAAAAGGCTTAGAAAAATCTTTTGTTAAAATACGTATTAGAATTAGAGTCAGAAAAAGTGTCTGTATAAGAATGGTATGTTGAAGTAATTGACCTGTATCTGGTTGGTTGACCTTCCTAAGTATGTTGAAGTGAATGACCTGTATCTGGTTGGTTGACCTTCCTAGGTATGTTGAAGTAATTGACCTGTATCTGGTTGGTTGACCTTGCTAAGTATGTTGAAGTGAATGACCTGTATCTGGTTGGTTGACCTTCCTAAGTATGTTGAAGTGAATGGCCTGTATCTGGTTGGTTGACCTTCCTAAGTATGTTGAAGTGAATGGCCTGTATCTGGTTGGTTGACCTTCCT